AACAGATATTCTGTATCTTCGTTGCATACGACCTACAGACGATTACTCGCTCTCACGGCCAGTGCACGTCACGAACGAACGAGAAGCCCATGTGCTTTAGTCGTGGGCGATTTAGAACCGTCCATTTTGCGGCAGGGTATTCATTTTGTATTATAACTATAAATACACATGCCTAAACATTACTACATTTAAACATGTGTATTAATCGTTATAATAAACATGTTTAATTATTATATTAATATTCAAACACGTGCATTAACCGTTATACACATGTTTAAATACTATTATAATAAGCTTCACCGGGCACACAATGGTTCGGTCTTGGGATGCCAGGCCCGGATGCGATTTTTTTTCGGTACGAAACATTTGCATAAAACTTCACTCGGGCCATCTCGGATTGACTCGAGCGAGTACGATACGAGGAACAAGATCAGACACTTCGCAATGTCGTGATGCTCGAGTTTTACTATTACTGTATTGCTCTTTCTATGTTTACCTACGGTAGGCCAATGAAATCTCACGGACTTATGGGATGTACGTGTGTAACTAACTGTGAACTTCTTGGATGTTATTAAAGGGGGGGGGGGTGCGGGGATGAGACAAGTGGGCATATATTGCTTATTTAACCTTTTCTGAGTTCGGGAAAAATACTTAAAAAATTCAAAATGTTGCCGATGTAACGATAATTACAGAAACAAAACATGACATGATGAGACAGGAAAATCAGGTGAAAACGAGGCTGATCACTTTTTTTCAGTAGCTTGGTAGCATTTTCCAACCAACTCATTAATATTCAAGACAAGTCTGTCAATTAATTTTTGGCGAGCAGCTATCGAAAAATCGTCCCGACGATCGAGCGACTAGCCTACACAGTACATATAGTACACTAGTGTGAAGTCAGTGAGTTTTTGTGATCGTTTACGTACGCAGTTACAGAGAGACGGTATAGTCAACGTCAATACAATCATGGAGATGACTTGTTTGTTTATAATTAGGCCTACACCTATGCCTAGGAGAGCACAGTCAGTGTCTACCCAGCAGCAGTAGCGCACTCCTGTCCGGGACACTGCTCCAGTCCCGCAGCAGGTGAGTTCGCACGCAGCCTTATCCAGCTGACGGTAAAGTTAGTAGGTTTCTACTACTACTAGCCTAGACTTGTCATGCCATGCCATGGCGACTTTGTCACATTAAATGTACTAATAATAGTATAATTTAGGCATAGTTATGGTCCTATGAAAAACTGTCTAGGCCTACCTAGGCCTAAATGTCTACAAAATTCAGTCTAAATAAAGGTGATGTGCTATAATACTACAGTATATCACCAGAGCCAACACCAATTCCTGTAACAATAACATTATTATTGATATACTGTAGGCCCAGAAGCTAGGCTACACAACAATAACGCCCCGTTAAATAATAACATGGTGCATATGTTACTCCAAACCTAACTTTCAGCTGTTGTTGAAATGTGGAATTCAAATAAAATATATACATATATATTTTTGTAGGACAAGATATGTGATAGGCCGAAACATGACACTCTCCTCACATAGGCATTTGCCAGTCGCCATGATGAGACAAATATACCACAACATTTGCCATGAGTACAACTACCCAACATTGGCATCTACGACAGAAGGTGGTACAAAGCATACAAGCACCCAGCAAGACGTTAGCAAGAAACACTCTGGTTATTTGCTGAAACTTGTAATGAAAGCTACACACAATTTAAGGTGAGCAAAAGAAAATTAATTGAATGTCTCATAACTGTTCAGCCAGAGTACATGAAAAAAATATATTGGAATGGTAAAAAAATATCAGCATGGTGTGTCAGTTTTATTAAGAAACAACAATAATACATTATACACTAGCAGACAGGAAGGCTTCAATCAAGTAATTAAAAAATCTGAAAATACTGTCAATTGATGAATGTCTTTTCAGATTAGTACATACAGTATCTCAGTATGGTATGTTATTAATAAAGCAACAAATGCCAATGTTTGATAACATTTTTGATTTTTAACAAAACTGTTTTTGCATTATTGTAACTACTGTATATTTATTCCTCAATAGGAGAAAATGACTGGCTCAAATGGATGCAATGCAAACAATTCCATCTGTGTGGACATGATGAAATGGACATGTCCAATCCATGGTTAGCAGAAGGTGGCAATACTCTGCAGCAAGTGATTGAGGCCAAAATATTTCCAAAGAATTAAATTAAAATGATTTATCTAGTGATTTTTTTTTCTGAAGATATACTGAAATGCCACACACTTAAGTTTTTGTTTTTTACGCATCTGGTTTATATTGCATGCCAAATTTATAATAAATAAATAAATACTGTACCAGTATTACTGTAACTTTTTCACTTGCAAAATATCTTCAATATTATTAAATGGCATTTAAATCCCATTCAGTAGTAATCCTTTTGAAGCAAATATGTGACTAAGATTTAGAAAACAAATTGTGAGGATTAATTTTGAAATATGTAATGTGCGAAGTTGATAGTCCAGTATGAAAATGTGGCTCAATGTATACAGGAACAACTATTTTAATGTATGGCTTTGTACAGTCTTGTGTAAAGTTATTCTATGAAACTGCTTATTTTTTAATGCCGGGATTATGCCTCTGTCTGCATGCTGATCAATTTGGTATTGGAATTTAAGACAAAGCTTCAATTTTTTTTGCTGTACACCATTTTTTGTTTAGTATTTTAAAATATATAGTTGAACTTGCCTATGTCATATTGGGAAATTGTTTGATTGATTTGCAATTAATCATTCTGGCACTCATCATCAATAATAATTTTTGTTGAAAATATATATATTCTAATTAACCATCACTGTGAAAAGCCCATATTCAAATGCATTGCAAAGTGGTGTAACATAGCCGCGACCTAATTATTTTGAATAGAATTTATTACTTCATTAATATAATACTTTTTTGTAATATAAAAATAAAAATTAGTTTAAAAATGAAGACAATAACAATATATGTATAATAGACTCTCTTGTTTCTCAACCTTTTCTAATGTACAGTAATAAAATGCCCCTGTATTTTGACTATCAAAATGGCTGGACATTTGACTCTCTACTAGTTTTTGATCCAGCATGGAACCAGCAGGGCCACGGCCTAATGCAGGTGGTTGTATTTCCGAGAAGAATGCCGAAAATTAGTCTAAACTAATCAGGATACTGTATATAACCATTGCCAATGTATCTCTGCACATTTTTCCAAGCCATTTTCCGCGCAAATTTGAGCTAGTTTTCAAGGTATCATCCACATTCCACGACGAATAAACTGGCATTTTAGTAATGCAGTAGTAGTAGTAGTAGATCCTAGATAGTTCCATGGATCTAATAATTAACATGTAAATTAATGTACTTTATTTAAAATAGTGTTGTTTGTTTGCCTCTAATGTTTGAAATATTATTATAGTTTGTATGCCTAGGCCTAAACTATGGGGGCCTAGGCCGCGCCAGGCAGTAGAGTAGTATTCCGTATTCTCTACATACATACAGTACTGCACTAAATGCTAGGCTATGCCTACACAGGTAAGACAAGTTGGTATTAAACAAACCTATTTAACGCCACTATTAAGATCACCACTTCTAAGACTTCCTTATCCAAACCAGCAAACATATCTTTTTGAAAGATTGATTCTTCAAAAATGCCTTCGACTTATTATATTATTATTATTGAATATTTTCGCAAGTCCTAGTTTTGTGCAAATTTATGAAATAAAAACTGGGGAAAATCGTTATTTTACACATAATTGAGACATTTTCATAAGTGAAAACCCATATAAATGAAAAGACTGGCCAAATTTACATTGGAATATCTAAAGTTTGACACGATTTTTTTTATGGGGTTAGCAAATGCAAGCCTTTGAAAGTAGGTACATTTTAGGAAATTCCCTATCTTATAACACTAGCTCAAAATCCTGTAGCACCAGTGTTTTTTTTTTTTGGGACCCAGTTCACGAGTCTCGTTTTCCAATACCGCGCTCCAAAGTCGAGTGCCGTCACCGTCATTGTGGTCGCCCATCCCCCTATTTTGAATTAAAAATCAATCGTTTCGTAAGTCTCATATCTTCTACTACACAAAACATACTAGTGACCATTAAAATAATATGCTGACATTGATAATCAGAGAGGAAACCAAACTGCAACTGTGTATCCGGTGAGAAAGAAATATATCAAAAATATTTTTATTTGAACAAATTTATTGATTTATTATTTATTATCCATTAGATAACCCATATTAACTCTGAATTACACTCCAAACTAACACTTCAGTCACAAATTAATTTATGGCAGCTATCGCATATACAAATACGAACATGTATATAAACTCCAAATCAATATTCATATACTAAATTTAGAAAACTGATTTTTTAGAACTGAGTCTATGGTGGTTCTCCCACCATACTTGTTCTTTAGGAACGGAAAAAAAACAACAAAAAACCAGACAAAATAAGAAACAGGATGTAAACATTTTCCTCGACCCAATGCTGGGAGTGTGTGAAGATGTGTGGCATTTGGACAAGATTCAAAATAGAAACTTGTTTTCTTTTATTTATAAAAAGACTCAAGTTGTTTGCTTTTTAGGAGAAGCCAAAAGTTTTTGTTTGTTAAAACTAAGTATTTGGAAGGAAAAGTGAGGTTTTTGAGCAATAAACACAGCAAATCATACTTTTTATCGTAAAAGGCAAAGTTTTTACATTATGCGTTGATAGGGTTTTACATTATGCGTTAGAAAATTTTTTTACATTATGCGTCAAATGTTTTTACATTATGCATAAGCAAATTTGTTTACATTATGCGTTGCTTTTTACATTATGCGTTATTTTTTTACATTAAGCGTCAAACCTTTTTACATTATGCGTTAATCGATTATTTTTTTACATTATGCGTCGTTTTTTACATTAACAGTTGTTACAAGAGGTTCCTTGCTAATCAACTATTTAATAATGTTTTAACTTGTTTGTATTGCAGAATTTCTTCTGTGGCGGAAGCTTAATTTCTAATGAGTGGATTTTAACAGCCGCGAATTGCTTCGACCAAGACCCAGGACCTATGAGTGTAAGGGGGAAAGATTGGAAAACAACGACGCCATATATGGGTATGAACATAGCATAACTATACATTTCAACAAACTTTCTTATCTTGATTCTAGTTAGCAATATTGTATTCTGCATTCAAATTGATTGAGTTTTAAAGATTGGTTGATTGATTGATTTGTTAGTTGGTTGATTGGTTGGTTGGTTGGTTGATTGATTGAGATTACATGATTGATTGGGATTGGGTGGTTGAATGAATTATTGAAATTTGTTGGTCTGTTAACTGATTGATTGAGATTAATTTATTGATTGATTGGTCGTTGGTTGGTTGATCATTATTGACTGATTTATTGATTATTTGATTGAAAAAAATTGGTTAGTTGATGGATTGATCGAAATTTGTTGGTTGATTTATTGGTTGATTGATTGGGGTGTTTAGTCTGGCTGATTGATTGTTTGATGGAAATTTGTTTATCGATTAATTAATTGGTTGGTCCGTTGGTTGGTTGATTGATTGATTGACTGATTGTTTAGTTATTGGTTAATTGGTTGTCATTTGATTGGTTGTTTGATTGATTGAGATTGATTAATATTTAATAACTAGAGCACAATTCCCACGCATCCTTTTGCTTAAAAAAATATATATATATTTTAAAAATGAAAACAAAATCTCTTCTGAGATTCAAATGCGGGGCCTGTCGCTTACAAAGCAAGCGACATAACCACTGAGACCATGAATGCGCTTTTATAGTCATGTGCGACCAAGTAGCCAGTGAGAGCCAATCATTGTTCATTACAAGCGAGAAAGTTCCATTCAGGTCCAATGATCAGTTTTGAGATATTTATGTATGGGACGCTCCAATTTAAGGGTCTCCATATCAACACCATACTCCAGTTTTTAGGTATGTGGGTGTTTTTATTGAAATGGTCCTCACATCCACATCCCACTTTGGATCGTCACCAAAATAAAAAGAAACCTTCCATTCAATGTCAGAAATCATTTCAGAAAATATGACGTATGTAGACCTAAAACTGTAGACAGGAGTCTGCTAAAAACAATCAAACACAAAATCCGATGAAAATAACCTGCTTGCGGAGTAATAATGATGATGGCGATAATAATGATGTTGATAATGATCATGATAATGGTTATTAATAGCAGGCATAGGCCAAATACAATTTGAATTTGAATACTTTTTTAAAGGATTGACAAACCGAGCAACCGATAGAAAATCGTCAAATACTTCCAGAATTATAGACTTCATAATGCACCCACTTTACAACACTAAAGAATCCCCCATATTTGACTATGACGTTGCCTTGGCTAAGATAGAACCGATTAAACTTCATCCACAAGTAAGAACCGTATGTTTGCCCGGTGTGACTGATACAAATCTACAAGAAGGTAAGGCCTATGTTTGTTATTGTTCCTTAGATTCTGTACACTCTCACACAGCGCCGACCTTCGTCGGCCAACGTGATTCCACAGGACAGAAACGTTTTGGTGCAGTGGCAATGGCAGTGGCAATGTTCCCGACGGAAAAAAATGGGTGTCGCTCGAAATCTCCAGGGGCGAAAAATAAGACATAATAGGGGTTGATTTTTTTTTTCCTGAGCGCCACTCTCGAAAGAGCATATTTTGCCCTGTGTGTAATGAAACACTTTGAGAAACAGGGTTTTAAATAGAAGGTACAGTATTAAAATGAATAAATAACACAATGAAGACTCAAGCATTTCTTCATAAACGTTTATTTACGATGACGTGAACTACGGGAATACGTGATATAGGTAACATGGGAACGGGCATGGAAAGTGCCTAGCCAATATTTTTTTTATAAGCACCACTCTCGAATAAACACCGCACTGAAGCCTCCTAAACTTTCATAAGCGCTGCGGCGCTTTTTCGAGCATTTACGGTAACAAATGACGCAACTAGACCATGCGCGCTCAAAGGATAATTTTGAATGAAGGTCCGCTGAGACCGCCATCGTCTGCCACCGAGGTCGGGGTCCAACCACACTGCCAGCAATAAACTATTTCGTAGTATGAACTACGCAAGCATGTATTTAAGGTCAAACGACATTAACCTATGTTTGTCGTGTCTATGTGGTGTTTGTTTGCTTATATCAGTTGACCATGATATGGGCATGCACAATTCATGACATGGCTGATTGATTTAGGCTATCTGCGATCATAGCCGTCTGAAGCATATTGGAAGTGGTCCGGCCATTGAGGGGTTGGGGGTGGGCTGAAGAGGTATGGAGAAAAGTGGTGGAAGTGGGGGTGGCCTTCGGGATCCGGGCGTCATTCCTCGAAAAATGTTGTTTCTGCTGTAGATTCCCGAAAATGCGCTCTCCTATCTTTACAACAATCAAATAGGCACCTGCCAAACAAATATGGGCACCTGTACCCCCATCCCCTCTTCCCATTGGATTAATATGATATATTATGTCCTACAGCCGATGTCAGAGACACATTATGCTGTTATATATCAGAAAGCCCTCTTAGATCAGGGGGTGATAGAGCGAAGACCTGATGAGTAGGGGCACCGAAGGGCCCCTAAGAATCGGTGGGCCTGCGCACCGCCGCACGAAAGCGTGACGCCACTACCGAGCATGGGTAGCTCTTCTAGCTGGGTATCAAGTGTATTAACCGGCATTAAATCACCTAACTGCCTAAACTAAGTGTGTTTTAATTTATTTTGTTTTTTGAAATTCATGTACAGTGTATGTACTGTACTCCCTCGAAAAGAAGCCCATGAGCCTATTTTGAAAAGAAGCCCATGATGTTCTCTTCGAGGTATTAAGCCCATGGGCTTCTATTGGAGGTTTTACGGTATTGCAAAATGCCGGCTAAACACTACAAGATAATAACATTAGGAGCTGGTAAGGAGAAATGAGATAATATCTTTGATTTTTTTATATCAATTTCAGCTGATCAATTTAATAACTTTTTTATCGATAAGATACAGAAAGCTCGTAACAACCTAATTTCAACCCGATCGTGTTCATTGGCACATTCTTTTCCTCTTCAGCCGCCATTGTTTTGCACATTTAATTACGTGACCGATATTAATCTATCCAAGTTGATATGCGATATGCCGGCCAAATGCTGTCAGCTTGACCCAGTCCCCACAACAATCTTGAAACGTGTGATTTCATCTACACTTCCAGTTATTTCATCTATTGTCAATAAGTCATTGTCATCCGGTGAGTTTCCTCACCGTCTTAAACAGGGCATAGTTAAACCTCTGCTTAAGAAGCCATCTTTCGATCCAAATATTTTGTCACATTACAGACCTGTTACAAATATTGCTTTCATTTCAAAAGTTATTGAAAAAGTAGTCGCAGATGAATTAATGCACTTTATTGATGTCAACGACTTATCAGAAGTGTTTCAGTCAGCTTATCGTAAATTACATAGTACAGAAACAGCAATACTAAAAATTCATAATGATATCATGGTATCAGTGGATGAGGGAAAGTGTGTGCTGTTAGTTTTTCTAGACCTCTCAGCAGCATTTGATACGATTGACCATACAATTCTCTTAAACAGGCTTGCATCTTTTGGAATCGGTGGATATGTCCTCCGCTGGTTTCGGTCTTATCTACATGGTAGGCAACAAGCTGTATACATTGATGGTGTACTATCTAGTTACATAGATATAGATTGCGGGGTCCCCCAAGGCTCAATTCTTAGGCCTATATTGTTCACTCTATACATTAAACCTATTGGTAATATAATTCGTCGCTACGGCACTAATTTTCACATGTACGCTGATGATACACAATTGTATCTCAGTTTCAAGCCCAACAATGACACGTGTGACCATGCAGTCACAACAATACAGACTTGTATCAAGTCAACACATGGCTCGAAAACAATATGCTCTGTTTAAATGTTGATAAGACACAGGTCTTGTACATTCATTCTAAACGTAGAAGCAGCATTCCGATTATTGACAGAATTACAGTTGGTGATGATGTTGACGTTACTCCATCTACTGCAGTAAAGAATCTTGGAATTTTATTTGATTCTAACATGGACATGGAGAAACATGTTAACAGCATTTGGAAATCTATAGCATTTCAGGGACGAAATACCAGGCGAATTCGCCACCTTTTTACCGAACAAGCACTTATTAAGATTGTTCATGCATTCATTACTTGTAGGTTGGACTATTGCAACAGCATTCTATATGACCTTCCTGATAAATTAATCTCAAAATTGCAGCGTGCGCAAAATATGTCTGCAAGACTTATCTCAGGAACTCCACGTTTTCATCATATCACTCCTATTCTGAACCGACTTCACTGGCTTCCTGTCAAACAAAGGATAGTTTTAAAGATAAATCTCATAACATACAAAGCTCTTCACGGTCTTTCACCTGTGTACATAAGCGACATGCTAAATCTTCGGTCGATGTCATGTATACGGTCACTGCGATCGTCAACTAGCAGTTATGTACTTACCAGACGCTCTTCTAGGTCGAAATCCTATGGTGATAGAGCCTTCAGTGTTGCTGCACCTATCCTCTGGAACCAGTTACCATCTGACTTTAAGAAAAGCTACAAGTTTAAATATAATCAAGTCAAAGCTCAAGAAATTCCTGTTTTGTTGATTTGCCGACCTCTGACCCGAAACCTTCATTTATTAATTATGGGAATAGTTCAACCAATTATTTAAGATGGTTTATTTTAGTGTATGTAAGTGTAGATTAGGATTATAGTGCCCTGGGCACGACGTTATAAACTGCATCCGGTCGAGTCGTCGGCGACTAATTCCGACAACCCCATCTGGTGGTCTTTAGCGGCCGCCAATGGGAGGGTGGATGGACACCCAGCAGCACGGAAAAAACAGCTGAACAAAGGGCGGATGAACTCCTCGGAGCCAACGGCCAACCATGCCTTAGTTTAAGGAGTAGGTTTTTTTAGTTTCATAAAATAACTTCAATTTTTTTTTTCTCAAAATGTCCAAATCAAAGAGCTCAATCACCAAGCGCATAGAGGCTTTTTCGCATGATGCGCTCTACAAATCCAACTATTATTATTATTATTTATTATATTTTGGGTCACAGTGTGCGATTTTGCGTCTTTCATTAACAATTTTGATTGGGAATCGATCTGATGGTCCAAATTCACCAGATATGGCTTGGTGGTTGGTTGGCCGATCCTCTGACAAAATCATTTGCGACGTCTACTAAACGTAAGCCACTTGCCCTGTCTTTGGATACATATAATAAAATCAAATTATTAAGGCGGTTTTGCGTCATAGTTGTTCTTAGGTACCTATTGTAAGTCTTCACACGCCGAAGAGAGCTGAACGTTCTTTCACTTGTAGCATTGGTAGCTGGCCTGACTAAGATTAATTTTGCAAACTGCAGGGGCGGATTTAGTGGTGGGGGGGGGGCGACCCGGCCCCGGCCTCCCCTTTTGGGAGGTAAAAAAAGGGGAAAAAAGAAAGAAAAAGAAAAAAAATGATAGCCCACAACGTCTCAAATGTTATTTTCGGGCGTGTAGAACACAAAAATTTTGCGGGGGCATGCCCCGGACCCCACTAGGACATTGTTGTCTCGATCGGCCCAAATTTCGCCCCCCCCTCCCCTCTCCCCTTTCGTCCCCACCCCCTCCCTTTTGGACATCTCTGGATCCGCCCCTGGACTGAATCACTTGCGATATTAATCTTTTTTGACAGTGGTCAGTCTTCTCAAGTAAGTCAGAATATTGGAAAGTGCATGAGATGCATGATACAGTATTACTAGAAAATCAGGGGCAGATTCTGTAGGGGGCACGGGGACACGTTTCACCTGTTTTGCCACTAAATTTTAAACATTTCAATGCACATTAATGCTATGTCACTCATTTATCTATTCTGAACCTGTTGTGCCCCCATCCATCACCCAACCGCTTGGAAAATTGCGCCCCTGAAAATAGGATACTGAAACTTGATGTCTTCTGCTATAAAGACCTTTAGCTAGCCTACTTTTTTTTCCTTTTTTTTTCTTTTTTTTTTTTTTTTTTGAGAAAAAATGGTCCGGCCATAGCCGGTGCTGCCGGTGCGGTTCCGACGGCCCTGGCGATGCTTCTCTCAACCCAGGAGGATAAATGGGTGTGCTAGGTAATTTTGCTGAATGCCAATACGCCAACAGACGCTTCGTCGACAGAACTATGACCGAATGTGCTTTCGCCGACACGTCTTTTTGACGACACATCTTTTAGCTGATAAGTGATTTCAGCGAAAGGTAGTTTCACCGACAATGAATTCGCCGACAGTTCGGCAGTTGACATCAAATTCGCCTGCAGTCAATTCGCCTTTACCTATTTTAGTTTTTATATAATGAAACGATTTTGATATACATACTGATGAATTAAAGGGGGGTGCGGGGATGAAATAATTAATTTTTAA